ATGAAGAGTTGATAACAACTAGTGGTGTCCGATAGGGATGTCCATTGTCACCTTTTCTATTTAACTTCGTAATAGATGCACTAATGGAAATAGCTCTATGTTCGTCTGACTTCACACGGTCGTCTAGTTGACTTCGAATATGCATACGATACTGCCTTGCTAGATGAAGACGCTGACAAACACAGGGCCTTCTGAACATGTTGAGCAGAAATCTGAGTATGTCTGGCTAGTATGCGTTTCGCAACTAATAAATGTAGGATGATGCTCCCAGTTTAATGATAGAAAGTAAAGTGGTGGGATGTGTCGACCATTTCGCTTACTTGGGAGGTTCTATCAACCCGAACAGGCTATTTCATGACGAAATCTTAGCTCGGATACAGAAGGCCATTTCGGCATCTACCAACTTACGTTGCCTGTGGCGTCGGCGAGATATTTGACTGTCAACCAAAGGACAAGTATACTGCTCTGCATTCCGTTCTGTCTTGTCGTAGGGCTGTGAGACATGACCGTTAAAAGTAGAAGATACGAAGTGGTTGCAGGATCTTCGTAGCATTGCTGACATTCAGTGGAACTACCGTGTGAGCAATGTTAGGGTCAGGCGAATGGTACTAAGCAAGATGCGAAAATCGATTGACGGGGTCGTGAACTTAAGTCAACTGAGATGGCTTGGATATGTGCTGCGCATGCTTAACCACCTCCTACCTCGACGTGAAGTGCTAGGGGGAGTTGGGTTAGGATGGAAAAGGGTTCAGGGTGGCCAGACCAAGACCTGGCACCAGTTTCTGAAGTCCCTCACTGTTGGCTTGAGCCGTGTAGGGAGATGTAGACTGTCCGATTGGGGTCCCCGAGAAGAAAAGAGTCAGTGGTTGAGGACACTAGGTGACGGCTGAAAATTTGTCACAATGGCGCAGATGTATTCATCGTTTGATATCTTCTAAAACCTGAATATTCACACACCTTTATCTTCAGACAGTTTATTCCATCACACTACTTTATTTACTTTGATGTCACTCCTTTTCTAACCACCTGTTCTTTGTGTACTTCTGTGAAGTGTGACGACTTGAGTCACTGCCCATGTGTGCGAAGTTCTGCGTTGATTTTTCAGTCATTCACTCTAAACTCCTTATCCTCTTAGGGCCTGCCAGTCTTGACTTAAGATTTTGCACATTGTTACTGATCGACTGCTGTGATGTACGTCTTTGATCTCGCATTCATTGGAAGGAATATAGTGACCTAAATTATTTTACCGAATTATATCTACAGGACCTTTTAAACCGTAAATATTTTTTCGAAATTAGCTTGTAGGTTTAAGTGCAAATCTAGCCTTATTATGGACTCCTCGTAACGCTACTGAGATGCCTCCCTTGTATATTAACACCATAGAGGTGTTAATTTCTCTTTTCATAATGTCCTCATTATTATTGACATATACCAAAAGAAAGGTTTGCTGGTGAGGTTTTGAACCTTCATAAACACAGCAGAACGTTCAAATCTACTCATAGCAGAAGACCACTTCAAAACTCAAATAGGGACGCTGTGCCAGTCAGAATGGAATATTGGTTTGCATGGAACCCTATGCCAACGAACTGAAAATGATCATCTCTTACATTTTGTCACTTGTTTTTGGTAAGCACTTGCTTGAAGTAATCGGAAAGACGCTGTCTCAGTTGGCGTCCGTCGAAATCAAACCAACGATGGATGCAGATAGATCATATTGCAGTTACTGCCAGCCATTACTAGAGAATGGTGGTGGACGATTGCTGCTCTCTCTGGAACGGCCGGTTGAATTCCGGTCGCACGTTCGGAGGAACACGTGTATTTTCCTGCCTTACTAGTCACAGATCACGACGTGGCGGTAGTCCATGAAGTCCTTGGCTGTTAGTCTGAGCCATGTAGCGACTTATCTGGCCGGGGTCCTTAAGAGGAAAGCAGTCAGTAATCGTAGACCCTTGTTGACATTGCTGAAAATCAGTCACAGTGGTGCAGATTCGCTTACTTTTTGACGTATTCTACAGTTTGAACATTTTGACTAACTTTTATCATTGAATTCTTTCTTCTCCCATACATCTTTGTCTACTACAGTGTCACTCTTTTTCTACGGGCTTGTTCATTGCGTTTCGCTGTGAATTGGCCCGAATTGAATCGATGTAACTTGCGGGATTTCACACTGACTGTGTTTTTCTGTTCATACAGTTAACTATTTCTTCCTGGTGCCCACTTCATATATAAAGGTTATCGGAAGGTTGCTGCTGCTTTTGTTACACATGGCTGGACAATGATCATTCGTTGATGTCAGGACGCCTATATAGAAACATAGAAAACACCCACAGTTTGATCAACAACGTTTTCAATGACATCAAGTTCACAATGTAGAAAGAATCAAACAACCAACTACCATTCCTGGATGTTTTAGTCAGTAGAACAAATGCCGGAAAGCTGGAAACCCAAGTGTACAGGAAGCCAACACACACTGACTAAATCCTCAAGTACAATAACAACAACCTGACAACACACAAGATCAGTTGCGTGCATACTCTATTCAGAAGAGCGAGAACACACTACAGTACAACAACTTCATGGAGAAACGAAGAAAATTACTTGATGTCCATCCTAAAGAAGAACGGCTACTCACGAAAGTTTATCAGAAGATGCCTGTCCCGTACATCACCAACTAGAAAGTCATCAACAGAAATCAATAAACACATCATCCTATCATACATAATGAATATATCAGAAATCATGACAAAATTACTGAGACCACTTGGAATTGGTGTGGCTCATAAACCAACAAATTCCCTCCAAACAGTATTATGCAGACCGAAGGATGCGACAACCAAAGAAGACAAACCGAATATCATTTACAAAATCAGCTGCAATAACTGTAGTCAACACTACATTGGACAAAGTGGTCATCCTCTTCGTCTTCGTCTACATGAACACCACTCGTTTCAATGCACATGGATAATTATGGACATAAGTTCAATTTGGACAATGTAGAAATTTTGGACCAAGGAAACAAAAGATATCAGAGGATTCCTAGAAGCTTGGCATTCAGGTTAGTCAGCAATCAACAGATGTATAAACATAGACCCGATCTATCAACCAATAAGAGAAATAACAAACGACAGAAAGGTCAGGGGTGAAGCAGAGGAACAGCCAACAGGAAAGTCTATATAATCAATGACACAACAATCGAAGGAAACAACCAATCACAGACCACATCGTCAGAGCAAGCTACCAAATCACTGACGGAGAGATATTGACAGCTCACTTCATACTGAAGTTGGTGCTGATGATGTCGTCTAGCAAGGCGATGAAAGCTTCACGATTCAACAACCCAGCTCAGATAACACAATACAACCAAGACGCCTAAATATGCGTAAAATAACTACAACTTTAAATGGCTCTAAGTGAAGATCGATGATTATAATGTTCCTGAGCATGTTTCCAAAACGTTACTGGCTAGAAAGATGTAGCAACAGGATAGTGTCACCCATCTTGAAGAAATGTTTAGAAAGCTAGTAGAGCTTGAGAACTTCTGAAATAATGTATACGCCTGAACACCTTTCTGGACACAATAAGAAATGAAAGCTACTGAACTGTAGTTTGAAAACAGGTCTACGCAAAAACAGTTATCACTTGTGAGCAGCGAAGGCCATTAGGATGGTGAAGATAGGGTTGATAGGTAGCGATAAGTTGTTAGATAATATATAAGAAACTGGTGCAATCAGGTCGTTAGGTAGTTGAACAATAACAGAGAAGAGTGGGTAGTGTTGCATTTAAATGGAACATAATGTCAGTAAGTTAGCATGACTTTTGCTAAGGTGTGCCGTCTATGGTGTGACTGTGATATTCTACTGCTTTTCATAAGCTAAGTATAGTTCGCTGCAGTTCGTTTTGTTGTACCCTGTGACTTTGAAAGATGGCTACTAGAGGCAGAGCACATGAGAAGGCTTCAAGTATTCAAACATCGTTGTCATTGCATGGACCATGTGTTGGGGAACCAGCACGTAGAATTAATTTATAGACTTTAAGTAAGAGAAACAAGCCACTTGATGAGGTTGTGAACCTCCATCGACTCGGATGACTGCGAAGTGTTTTATATCATGTCCAGTAAACGTCTATTCCATCCAGCCATATTTGGTGAAGTACATTTTAGCTAGAACAAAGTTAAAGACAGTCGAACTAAAGTCGATGAAGTCCTCGACTGTTTTCTGTACTTTTCTATCTTTCATCTCGTTGCCTTCTACTTTGATACGCTGATGTGAGGTGTCGCAACTTGATCCCTTATGCAGTAATGTCAAGTTCCATTTTGTAGCTGACCAGCTAACTGATCCATTTATGGTACGGAGATACTATGATTATATTATTACATGTAAGATCGGTTTGTACTTATAAACACCGGGAAGGCTGATTTTCTCTTGTTGACTATGCTTCATTAAATCTACATATACATGCATGACAGTTTTCTGTACAACTTTGCAAAGCTTTTTTTACCATGAATCTCCTGACGTTTGCCAACAGTGTGCATTGCGGTAGATAACGATACTTTTTCGGCAGCTACATTTCTCAATGTTGGTGAATTTGACTGCCTTTCCAGTAGTGGGGTTCGCTTAGGAGCAACGCATGTTGGTGTTTCCCATGAAGTATGTTTAAAGTAGAACAGGCGTTCTTTCAACTATGGTTCCACTTAGCAAGAGATATGTGACTTGAAGGAGGACTAGACCTATTTTTAGGGAGACAAGGTGCCGTATTAGACCATATTAGTTTAGCATGTGAAAGAGAATAGAGATAGCTGCTTGTTGTTTCAGAATATACTCTGATTTTAACGGGAAGATAATATAATAAAACTCGATTTATAGGAAACCTGCTTTGGCAGGGCGCTTAGTGAAGAACAAGCTTATAAGGGACGTCATTCATTTTTATTGAACGTTTCAAATATTTCTGTGCGTTTAATGTAGCTATTTCCATCCGAATATACTTTTATTTTGGAATCCCAGGAAGATATATGAAGAAAACTTTTTTAGTTACAACCATCCACATATTTACACTTGAGATTTGGATCACTAGAAAGTATATTTTGTTGAGATCGTCCAACTGATTGAAATATTGAAGTTGGTGTTGATGATGTTGTCTAGAAAGATAATGAAAGCTTCAGAATCAAACCACTCAGCTCAGAAAACGCAACTGAGGAAATTACTGATTGAATTGTACTTTTTAAACTGTAATGTTATTGTATATTACTAAACTGCCGATTCTCATGATTTATTGTCCTCTTTTAATTCCTGAAGTGAAATTATCACTTTTTCCGTGAAATGTATCGTCACAAGACATAGTATTACAATTTTGTACGGTACTTACGTAATCCGCATTTGATTATTTATTGATTGGGCAGTTTCAGTAGTGTGAAAAATGAAAACATTAATAAGAATAGAATCACATGATACTATGGTTGTGAGGCGAATTTACTATTTATTGTTTTCAAGGAAGTTGACAAGATTGAGAAAATTCATTTTAAAAATAAAATATTATCGTAATGTATTTGTTTTTGAAGTGTGTATATGCGAACGTCAGCATAAAAATAGGAGTTGGATGAATGATTAATAGCATTCGATCAGCGCACAGGACTAGACGACACGAATTTGGTTACCTTCAGTGACTAATCAGTGTATACAATCCAGTCCTACAGGAGATCAGTCGCAACCTGAACAGTTGAGTGATAACGTCTGCATCACCAAGTGACGCCGGTTCGAATCCAAGGCAGGACATTACTTCCGTAGAGGTTTCAGGTAAGTTTTGTTGACGAGTGCCATAAAGGTCCAGAGCTTCGTTCTGGTTCTCTCTAACTAACAGTTGGATGAGTAATTTGTAAATTGACGTTTCAGTTAGCAAGTTTAATACCTGAGTTGTTTTTCAATCACCTAATAGTGTTGAAACATGGTTGTTTTTGAAAACCGTCTACTAAGAATCATAGACTGTGACACAAGTAACGAGCGGTGGTATTGAAAGTTATCGAACTTCTTGCTGCGTTTTGCAGATTTATGGGATTTGGAGAATACATCTGTATTTCGAACTGGTCTTGATATGCTTTTGGTGAGGTTAGCCTGAAACCATGGCGACGACCACCCGATGTTCAGAGCGGTAACTGCGGAATTGGTGAACTTCTGGTCGCATTGTTCTCTTACTCGTCTATAAAGCTGGTTGAGCACGTGGTTAATTATGCACATAATGCCAAGTATCGTGTTAACAATTCACCCACGGATTTATCACTATGTTTGTACAGTAGAAGATAAAAATTGAAGCTCAGTGTCACTGTCTGGCTTCGATCTCAATCATTCCTGTATGTTTTTACAACGTACCATACTTTATAAATTGAAAGTTATTTTACTCGATTGAAAACGAGTTTAGCAAAATAACTGCTTCTATTATGAGTAGTACGATGAGTGAAGGGACGATAAAAAACTCAGATTGAGCCCAGGCAAAATGTATCCAAGGATAACATGATTGGTTACACTTTTCTGAGATGGCTGTTTTCCTTCTGTAGGTATAATATTCAGACCAATTTACCTTCGTTAACGTAAGATAATCTGCATGGATGTAGTTAAACTACTTATATAAATCAGTAGTTTACGTCTTTAAGTGGAAAAATTATTTTCACTGCAGGTAGATGAAACCTTAGCTACCTTGTGAATGAATTCAAAGTAATATCGTTTTTTTATTTGTCAGAAAATATTGTTCCCTCAATGTTAGTTTTCGCTGTCCTTACAAAAAACAGACTTTGGATCTTTCCGATATGATTCGAATTCGAGAGGGCCGTTCGGTTTAATGCGTTATACTCGAGTAGAAACACCAGAAACGAATCACCAGTCACCGTAGTCTGATATTCGATCCAGTCATTAGCAAGTGAGAATAATACAGAACGGGAAGAAACTGGACTCACTCAGTGTCACTCGAAAATGATTATAAGGCTGAAGGTTCATGCGTACATACAGGATTTTACTAGGTGATCTTGTGGAAGCGAGTTTATTTACTGATTTAGATGTAGTAGATTTCAAATTTCCAAAAATGCAGTGACTGGAAATGTTTAATTTTATGGTAACTTCTAGTCAAGTTTTCGGAAGTTTTCTCAGTATCTCCATTTTTACTGGAAAAATTGCTTCGGATGCGATTAATTTAGTTTTTGTTCCTATATTAAAAGTACTGCAGAAGTTTGCTTTGTTTTGATAACCTACCCATTGAGATCTGGATTTCACTGCCATCCTCTAGCACGGTGTTACAAGAAGTCAGTATTTGATTTCTGTGAACGCTTTAACTCACATACTGTTTGGAATTTCTAGAAGTATCCAGAAAAACTGGAGAACACTTGGTTACTAGCACACTTTTTTAGTCTGTTGGGAAAAATATGATAGTAAAGATAAAAGTAGTTCAGTTGAAAAAGATGCAACGCAGCATTGAATTTTGACCATGTTTTGAAAGATTTAGACTGTTTGTTGTTCCATATCGCTGGAATAAGCATGTTACTGATGTTTAATAAACACGCAGATTCTAAAAACTTTTGATATAACGGTATGTGAAGTAGGTATACTGTCTTTGTTTATAAGAGGAGGTAATTCTGCTTCATGTGAAATTGTTAATATTGTCCAATAACTTTTTTGGAGCTTTAGAATCACTAATAAAGGAGTTTGACTTCACATCTCATTAAATAAAACCTATCTAATTCTTGAAACATTTTTCGAAATCATTTAGGAAGGCCAATAAAACCTGTGGATAGGAATTATGGCCCAGGTGGCTAATTCTAGTGATATTGTATTTCGTGGTTTGATCATAAAGACTTTCTTTTCTTATTAGACACAAATGTCAACAGAAACTTTTACAAGAAGTAAGCTTTCAGTCAACCATCAGGACAAATGAGAGTATGAGTCTCCCCTTGGAAGTGTAGAAAGAATGCTAGGGAATACGTAGAAGTTTAGCTCGTCTTGTGTTGCAGTGAAAGCTCCAAGATTATGAAACACACGAGCATCAAATATTTTTCTTACTATCTACAACTAACAAGGAATTTCTACGATTTGTATACTGTTAAAAAACAATCGAAGGTTTGTGAGTGAACTCTTTAGTAGATGAACTTCGTGTTGACTGTAATATTTCCGACAAGGAATTATCTTACAAGAGTTAGGCGTTTGATCAGTTTCAATTTCTACAAATCCTTCTAGTTTTGTGACTTCCAAACTGTTTCATGCTTTTCTGTATGTCTTCGAATTCTACTGAGAATGATCTGAGTGATTATTTGTAATTCTCTCAACATATCGTATAAGTGCGATACACCACGTTGCACTAGTTGACCAGTAGCTATAGCGACTGTTTAATGATAAAATATTAGACTCCTGGAAAGCAGTAGGTTTAATCGAACGTTTCAGTAATCAAATACGAGAGTTACTCATTCAACAAAACATAGACGGGTTTGTAGAGGGATGCAGTTGTACCATCAAAGATTTTTTATTCACCTTGTTGCCGTCATCCTGTTGTGTTTGTAAACAAAAAAATGTAGCAGTCATTGCTCAGGTCTTATTGATTGAAATATGATCCCTTGCATACTGGTGAAAATATTGATGGTATAGAAAACTTTCGATTGTTACGCTTTTTGGCTCCTATGTTTTTTCGTTGAAGTAGGTTAAAATCAGGCTTACTAATGAAGTAGTGATGAGACGTAAAGTTCTTATCACGGCCTATTTATGTTGCTTGATCAATAAAATCCAATGTACTGGATTGTAATTACAAAATAAGGTTAATTAGAAAATTTTATCAGATCGAAGACAAATTCATCGCAGCCTTATAGTTCAAATGTAACTGAGGAATACGGTTTTACAATTATGTGCTCTGGTGTATATGTGAGAACTTTGTGGTTTTTAGATCGTGAAATACCCCATACATCATGCAAACAACAGTAGTCTTATATTTTCAAACTGTGCGACCATTACTTGGATAACATTCGATTATTGGAAAACTTTAGAAATTTATTTTCTGTAATGTAGCAGACTAGTTGACAGAAGTTAATGGTCTTCAAGAAAGTCTTGAAGTGTTAGATAAGAAGTAAGTTTCACAAATATTTTGTCTTTGCACAATATGCTACTTAAAAAAAGACTTAGAAAGCTTTTGTTGATTTGATCATTTGAGACAGTCTTAGTTTAGAAAGCCGAGAGTAGTGTAAAGGTGTTATAATGAACTTAAAAGAAAGGAAAACAGGAATCTCCCACAAATATTGTTGGTCATGCTATTTTATTTACCTTAGGCGGCATCTTAATTCAGACTTTTTGAATAACATTACTGCATAGTTCAGTTAATATTTCTGATTGTATTGGACAGGATCATGCAACAAACAGTGAAGAGCGAGAAGAGGGAGATAAGCTGGACTCGGGGAAAACATCCCAGAATAGTTGGATTTCGCCGATGTCTTGTGTCTAATGTCACACAAACTCGAAGATCTACAGGCAAAATCCAACAAGTTGACAGAGGAGGCAGGGCAGTGAAAGAAGACGGGACTCCAAGTGAACGTAGAGAAGACACAGGTGATGAAGATACCCAACCAACACCATCACCACCACCACCAACAACAAGAAGCTCCAATCACCATCAACAGGAGAAACTTAAAAGAAGTAGCCTCCTTCACCTATCTAGGCAGCACTGTTTCAACTACAGGCGGCAGTGGCACAGACGAGCACGTCAAGCCAGCCAGGATCGGAAAGACAGCAAGACAGGTGTTCATTAGCCTGAAACCAGTGTGGAGATCTACTGCACTGCACTCAGCATGTGGAACAACATCCGGATTTTCAACACCAATTCAGTGAAGTTACTGCTTCTATATGGCTTAGATAGAGACTTGGTGTGTTACGAAAGGCATTTCCAACAAACTGCAGACATTCATCAACAACTGCCTACGTTGGTTCGTTACTGAAGCTCAGATGGCCAGAATAATAAGAATAAGCAACAAGGAATTCAGGCTGGCTGGCTGTCTGGCTGGCTGGCTGGCAACCAATCGACCAAGAACCTGTCTCTCAACAAATATGTAGAGGGTGGTGGAGATGGATTGGATTGGGCATACACTGAGCAGACCGATTGGGACATCATGCATCAGGCCATGCCCTCGAGTGGAACGAGCATAGGAAACGACGAGTTGGGCGTCGGAGGCGAGG